TTGGAAGAACAGTCACATTTACACTATTGAAACTTCCTATCTGTGCACATAGAATATTTTTACATTTATTTAGCTCTTCTTTTACTTTTTTAATCAGTGTTTTATAATTTTCTTAATATAGTTCTTGTTCATATTTTGTTAGGTTTACCTAAGTATTTCAATTTTAAGTGCTAATCTGAATGTTATTTTTTAAATTATAAATTTCACATTTTCCTTGATGGTATTTAGGAAAGTAATTTATTTTTTATGTTGACTTTTGTATCCTGCAACCTTGCTATAATCACTTAACTTTTGCCCATTTCAGATTTCCTATATAGATAGATAGATAGATGATCATGTTTTCTGCAAGCAAAATTTTATTTTTTCTTTTCCAATCAATATACTTTTTATTTTATTGATTTATTTCATTAGCTAGGACTTCCAGTGCAGTGTTAAAAAGCAGTAGTGAGAGGGAATATCCTTGACATGTTTCATATCTTAATGGGAAAGATTTTAGTTTTTCACCATTAAATATGATGTTAGTTGTAGGGTTTTTTAATGTCCTTAAGCAAGTTGATGATGTTTCCTGGTACTATTGTTTTTTGTGACAGCTTTATCCTTTTGTATGTGGATGTACCATTGTTTCTGCATCACATGTAGTAAAAGGACAGGATTTTCAATAAATGGTAATTGTATGCACTCAATGGGATGTGAATGGAAATGATATTAGCATTATCTGACCAAGAATTTTAAGGAGGTAGACCATGTCTCCCCTCCTTGGTCCAGTGTTGCTGGCTGGATGCAGACTATGATGAGGTTCTGTTATGAAAAGTTAGGAAGTGATGGATTTGGTAATAAATAACACCAACAAACCAGGCATGGTGGCACATGTCTGTAATCCCAGTTGCTTGGGAGCCTAAGGCAGGAGAATTGCAAGTTCAAGGCCAGACTTAGCAACTTAGTGAAGTCCTAAGCAACTTAAAGAGACCCTGCCTCAAAATAAAAAGTAAAAAGGGGTGGGGATGTATCTCAGTGTTAAAAGTGCCCCTGGGTTAAAAACCCAGTCCCAAGGGAAAAAAAAAAGTAATGTTGATTTCTTATTATTATTTTCAAATTTTGAAAGTAATTTGACATTCCACTAATTTCAAATCTTTTCTAGCATTGTGGAAATCCAGAGTTCTTCTCCCTGCAAAGCTCCTCTGCCCAGCTCCTATAGTTCTAAAAATCCTCAACAAATATTTCTGATGTATGGATTTTTACTGGTTTTCCCATGATTTTTCCAATTGCTGATGCCATTGTAAGCTTTATTGCCAGAGATTTAAGCCCCTCTAAGTGTTTCATCTTGTGTTCCCCACCAACACTTATACACAGACTCATATTATCAGAGCTGAGCAGTAGTCATAACTTTAAAGTCATTTTGCAGGAGGACAATGTCCTCTCTTTAAGTTACTCTTTATTATTGGCATGTGCACACTGGAGTGTTACAGAGTTTATTTGGAAACAGTTCTTTCTGTGATTACTTATAAATCAGCCTTTACTATGACAGATTTGCACAACAGGCTTGTGTTGGAAATGGCAAAAATAGGATTTCTAATTCCAGTGCTGTCATTACAATAGCTATACTTCCATAATGAATATGCACTGTTCATGGGCTAAGGTCATTATGCCAAACTCTTTTCCTCAGGATGAATTCTCTTGACGTACATCTCTTGATAGGATGTGAACATATTTTACATTAAGGCCTCTCCACCAGTTACGAAAGTGTAACCTGTCTCAAGTAGTAGATACAGGCTAAGATATTTCCCAGAGCATTTCCAGCCTGCACTAAAAGTAGATATGGATGAGGACCCTTTTCACCAGTTAGTTCACAAGACCCACTCCAGCTCAGGTGGTCCTGACTACAGGGGATGTTAATTCTTGTGTACAGTGTGTTAGATTTCCATTACTATAATAAAATAAATGAGATAATCAACTTACAAAGAGAATAGATTTATTTTGTCTTGCAATTTTGGAGGTTTCAGGCCATGATCAATTGGCCCCGTTACTTTTGGGCCTGTAGTAAGGCAGCACATCTTGATGAAGAATGTATGGCAAAGAAAAACTGCTCACCTCATAGCCACATAGCAAAAATAAGGAAGGGGAAGAAAGACATGGATCTTTGGGACACATTCAGGATATAAACTAAAACATACAGCTCCTGAAATTCAGGTGGATGAGAAGGGATACATTCCCAAAAAACATAGGGTTTGGCTCAAACTAGGCTAGAAAAGAGATCCCAGAAGGAAAATTTGTCAGAGGCACAATGACAGTCAGTAGAGAGGCTAGTTAAGCCAAATGAACCAAAACAGGTCTATGAGCATGGTGATTGAAAGAGACAAAATGTCATCATATGAACTGTACAGAAAAGGGATATGCTAGCAAGCAAATTCATGAGTAGACATGGGAGGAGGAGTGACAGTAGGGGGAGAATATTGGATAAAGTATGGTAAATGACCACAGCTGCCTCTGAATCCCAGGATTAATGCTTGTGGGTTGTTTCTGGAATTTAGAGTTCAGGGGCAAGTCAGTGTTACACAGATGCTAGAGGAGGCACTAGGGAGTAGAATGATGGCAATTGCAGTCTGTTGGATGATAGTCCACTTTTGGAAGAAGTAAATAGTGCTTAGTTATCAGGATATAGGTAAGCATATTTAATCTTTTATTTGCCCTCTCAGATATAATAATCTGATCAATGCAAATAAAGTACTAAAACACATAAAATGTTTAAATGGGGGCTTTTCTCAGTTCAATCAATATTAACCAAAGACCATGTTTTCTAAATGGAAGTGACAGCAAATTATCCAACAGATATTTCAGAGTCTCATACAGGTAAACCTGTCGGCTTTTGGTAGAACTGCTCCTCTCTCAGTAAACACTTTGGTATACAGATACTAGTACCTCCAAAATTATGACAGAAGTATAATGTGGGTATAATTGTAGACAAACTTATGAAACAGAATGAAGGGAACTGGATGTCATAGTGGTGAGAGCTGAGACAAAAAATAAATACTCCCAGCACTGAAGGAAAGTAAAGACAGATAAGGGGAGTGGACTGCTTTAAGATTGTAAATATTTTTGTTTCCTACCACTGCTATAACAAATTACTACAAACTGGGTACCTTAAAATGACACAAATTTATTATCATTTGGTCATGGATGTCGTAAATCCAAATAAGATCTCATTACACTAAAACCAAGCTGTAGTAAGAGCTAATTTCCATGTGCAGTTTCTAGGGGAGAATCTATTTGTCTTTTCCAGCTTCTGGAGAGAGCCTGCATTCCTAGGCTCCTGGCTGCCTTCCATCTTGCAAGCCACCAGTGTCCTCTCTAGTCTTTCTCATGCTGCTTGCCTTGGACACTGACTCTTCTGCCTCCCCCTGCCCCATGTAAAAAGCCATTGGACTACTTTTGCCAGGATAATCCAGCACAATTTTATAAATTCAACCAATTAGCCAACTTAATTCCATCTGGTAACATAATATGTTTACATGTTCTGTAGAATAAGGTGTAGGCATCTTTCCAGAGCCATTATTCTCTCAAACACAAAGAGGAGGCATTTCAATCAGTTTTAACTTGGACAGCCATAACAGCACCACATATATGCTTAACCCCCTTGCTCTGTCCAGTAGTGCAAGAAGGGAAAAGAGAGGCTCAGGAATAGAGGAAGCATGTGGGAGTAAAAGAGGATTCAGAAACAGCTGGGTTTGTCATGAGGAAATGATAGCGCAGTGGGTCCCTCCCCTGAGAATGACTGCTCAATCTAGGTAGGTGGTTATGGGCAAGATCCAAGCTAGTTGGAATCACCACATTTCTACAGTGCCAAATATCATAAAGGTTTGGACATGTCTGGCAAGCGAAGACATCAAACAGAACAGTGTGCAGGGATCCAGGTCAGGTTCTACCTGGTGCCTGACACTTTGCAGTGGGACACCAGGGGGAGGAGTGTATGGCCCCCTGAGGGTCCTGGCAGAGCAAGGACCTGCCTTGGACAGCTGTGGGGACAACCCAAGCCAGGTCCAAACGAATTCCCATTTGGAGTGAAATACTACTAGTGTAGCATAAAGAATGTTGACATAGAGCAGCAATAGGTGTCTTAGGGCAAAGGGTGTAGGTCAACCTTCCTTTGAAAGGGACGCAGTGGTAAGGTCTTTAAAGGGAGCCCCCACCTCAGTTCCATAAGCAACAGGAGTGCCTTCCTCCCTTTCATGGCTCCAAGAAGCTGTGAAGGAAAAACATGGAGGAAGAGCCATCCTAGAGGCCCGTAGTCAGTCTGTAGTGAAGTCACCTGTCCTTCCCCCCCAAACCCACAGTCTGCAGTCGTGACACCCCCTCCCATTAGTGTCTAGGAAGGAGGGGGAGTCGAAGGAGGGGGGCAGGCACTGCGCAGTCTGGGGTGCAGGCACACCAAAGAGAGTTTTGGTATCCATCCGCTGCTCCCGCCCGCGCAGCGCTTCCCGACCTCCAGATACCGCAGCCCCCAGCCGCCCGCCCTCCCGCCAGTCCCACCAGGAGTAGGTGCGCGGGAGACTGGGTGGTGGTCTGCACGCTAGGGTGTGCGGGGTCTTACTGAGGCTGCTGGTGCTAAGCCGCCCCTCAGACCCGGGCTCACGCTGGCCCCGCCCACCTCTTGGTCGGAACTACGGTGGGCCTGGGAGGGGGCGTCGAGCCCATTCGCGCCATATCCCTCCGCCCCCCTTCCCGACACCCTGGAGGCGAGCGGTTCTTGCCGCATCCTGCGCAGCCCCTGCCCAGTTTGATGCAGAGGCGTGGGGGCGGGACGCCGCTTAGCAATTCTGCTTGCACAGAATGCGGTGGGAGTCCCAGTGAGGAGCTGCCAGAGGACAGGACAGAGGAGGAGAGGACGGGAGAGGAGGGGGATCCCGATGTCCTGGGCTCTGAGCCTGTGAAGGCAAGTGGGGCGCGCAGGGGGCGTGGGGTGGTCTTCCACTATGGCCGGCTGACAGCTTGCCCCCCGCCTCCAGACATTGGCATCCTGGCGAGGAGACAGCGAGCTGGCGGGAGCTGCTCCCTGAGAGGGGTGTGTGGAGCTTGGGGACCCCTGGTGAGGAAGCGGCGGTGACAGGTTGGGGCAGGGGGCAGGGTGACCATAGAGCCTCCAGCAGAGCTTCCAGAGGCCAACTGCACCATCTGCTTTTCTGCCTACGTTCTTGGCGCCCGTGCTGCCCTCGACAGTGTTTTTGCCCGGTGAGAGCCCTGGGGGAGGCTGTGAGGGAGAAGTGGTGGCGCTGGAGGTGAGGATGCCTCAGCGGCGGCGGCGGCGGCGGCGGGGGGTGGGTGGGCAGGGGGAATGGGGCTTCCTGGAGGCCACAGTGGGTGGGAATAGGAGCAGGGACTGGTGTCCAAGCTCTGTCCAGCCCAGCTGGCATAGCGGGAGGTGGTTCGCCTTTGCCACTCCAGCCGATTCCGGAAAGGGGCCTGTTGGACCCCGCGTCCCAGGTGCTGTCCCTTCCCACAGGCTCCTGCTTGATGTCAAAATCTCCCGTGTGTGCGGTAGGTCTGGTGTGTTCTGACAGGCCAGAGTGCGCATCTGTAGAGGCGAGGCTTGAGGAAAAAGAGGAGCAGGAAAATGGCCTGGATTTCTGGAGGTGTGTGCGGATGGGGGGTGGGCACTGGGCACTGAGTGGACACCTGAATGGGAGTGGGGCGACTGTGACCAGACCTGGCCAGGCATTTAGTAGCACCTCGTCATCTCCTAACAGGTGTCCAGGCACTTCCCCTACCTTCTCCCTCCCTCTCCCAAATCGGGGTCCTGAAAAGATGGACTTTGCCTGGGTGGGAGTACTGGGTGGAGGGGTGAGGGAGTCGTAAGTAGCACTTACTCCATCACCTGCTTTCTAGAATGTGCGGTGCCCTTCCCCCATTTTATGCTGCGCAGGGCAAGGGGAAATGGCGCACCTAGTGGTGAGTCCTCAGAATTGGAGAAGGGAGTATTGGGAAGAGGATGACGTCAAGAGAAGGTGGTGTTACCTCTGGAGCCCTGCAACAGGGCCTAAATAAAACAAGAGTATTCTACCAGCAGGACCCTAAATGTGGAAAGACAGTTAATTTGGAGACTCCTATCCTTGGTGTTGGTCTGTCCACCAAGCTCAGCTGCTGCCCTTTGTTTTTTGTTTTTTTTTTTTTCCTGACTCTCCTAACTTTTCATCTGTTTGTTCATAGGCCTGCTTTAAGGCTGTTCAATTCTGCAAGAAAGGAAAAGAGGAGGAGGAGGAGACTGGCTCAAATCTCTGGAGGTTGGTGAGAGGGTGGGGTGGGAGGCAGCTACTGAGGAAGAGCATGGCAGGTGGCTTTGGGCTTTGCTCCAAGTGGGTGCAGGACTGTGTTTACTTCTCTCTGCTAGACTTGCACACTGCCACAGCATCCTTTGTTTCTTCTGGCCAGAGATATTAGGAATGTTGAGGTAGGTGTAGGTTGGGCCCTGATGGATGATCCAAGAGCTGGGACCAGGAGACAGGGAACTTTAGACAGATAGGACCCTTAAACTGAAAGAGAGCTATTTGTTTTGGGCCAGGGTATGTGTCTATCTGTTGAGCATTCAGACTCCATTCTCTCCTGTATGTTTGTCTGTAGGACCCCCTGCAGTCGGCTGTGGGGCATAACACCATTTGAGCAAAGAAAGGAGAGGGAAATTGCACCACATCAGTGAAGGTTGGTATGGGCGTGGGTTCACTTTTGGGTGGGGTAGTGGAGACCAGCCACTACTGGTGGGGTCCAGGAGTGATTAGGATCTGGTGAGAGGCTCTTCTGCCTCTCTATGGATAACACACTTTCCCATCTCACCCATACTTATTTTGCAGCAGGCAAGAGAAACATTTTCTTATACCTGAGCTGTCCAATTTAGTATTCAACATTAGTCTCTCTGTGTAAGTCTCTGCATGAGGTGATACAGTTGGATGAGACTCAATCCCCCATTTCGTTCTCTCTCCCTAGATCCACCTCCAGTGGCAGCTCTGGTGGTGCTGGAGTTGCTGCTGACCACCACCCTCAACAGGTCCGCACCCACCCAGGAACCATCCATCCTCCCCCAGCTTGGTTGTGCCTCCTCTCCACTGTATCTATATTATTGACTGAGACTTTGCTTGGGTCAGAACCTGTTTGACTGCTAGATTGGCAATTTACTTTAATTTTTGTTCCAGTGTTATAGCCTAAATTGCTGAAAGATCTTAGTGTGAAGATACCATTCTTTGACAGATCTGTGCCTAAGGCTGAGACTTGGATAGTATATAACTGTACTTTGTCTAACTTTTACCATGACTGGGGCAGAGATTGAGCCTGGTACCCAGGCAATGCCTGAAAAGAAGTCTGGGGAAGATGTTTTAGGCATGGCTGAGATAGAGAATGAAGTCCCTTTGGTGGTCCGACCCAAGATTAGGATACCTGCCCAGATAATGACTGGAGCAAGGCCAAAAACAAAGACCAAGCTCATGCCTGGAGCAAGGTCCAAAATGGAATCCAGTACAGCAGTTGGGCTACATACTAAGGGTAAAACTAAGGTAAACCTTGGGTCAAGATTCAAGGATGATGTTAAAGCCTGGACCCAGAAACCATTTGGGGCTGAACCCATGTCAAAGACAGATGGAATGTCCCAAAACAATGCCAAAGACTCCCCACTTGTCAGTACTGATTCTGGGTTGGTTACTAAAACTAAGTGCCTGTCTGTGGGTAGAGAACTGGTTAATATGGACATTGACAACTTTCCTAGAAAGAAGACTCATTCTCAAGTGGGATTCCAATCTTCATTTGGGTTAGAAGAGGTAACCAATGTTGGGTCCTGGTGCTCTCCAGGTCCTATATCCAAACAAGAGGCCTCTCAGAATTCCAATTTTAAATGGGTAGACAGATCTGTGAATTCCTGGTTCTGTAGTGGAGATGAAGTCAATACAAAATTTCATCCTAGGAACAGGATGAAAGCCAGTACCAGGTCCAGGCACATGGCCAAACAAGAGGTAGATATCATGTCTAGGCGCAAAAACAAGCAGGAGTTTTATATTGTGTCTAGTTCTGGTTCTGAGGATGAGTCTGTTAAGACATCCTGGTTCTGGGACAAAGAAAAGACTAATTCCTGGTACAGGTCCAAGTCCAGGGAGGAGGCCAATGCCAGGTCCTGGTTCAGGTCTAAGAAAGAATTCTATGTTGAATCCAGTTCTGGGTCTGATTGTGAAAATAATATGAAGTCCTTGTTCTGGGCTGGAGAAGAGGCCAAATCCAGGTCCAAACACAGAGCTAGGAATGAGGCCAGTAAGAGGGTCAGGCACAATGCTAGGCGAGAACCTAGCATCAACGTCATGTCTGCATCTTTAGATGTAATAAAAAAAGAGTCTTGGTTCTGGAATGAAGAAAAGGATAATTCATTTTTAAGGTCCAAAATCAAGAAAGAGTCCAGGGCCAGAGCACTGGCAAAGGGAGAAGCCAAAACCAAGGCCAGAGCCAGGGCCAAGCGAGAAGCCATGTCAGAGGAGGAGGTCTTCATTGGAACCTGGTTTTGGGATACAGATGAGCCCAGCATGATGGATGGGGCCAGTGTCAAATCCAGTCCACAAGTGGAGGATGAGTCTATTTTTGGGACTTGGTTCTGGACTAATGAAGAGACCAATGTGGAGACTGAGGCTAGCTGTAAATCCAGACCTAGGGTTGAGGAGGAGCCTGCTGGTAATTCCTATTTTGAGGCTGGGGAAAAAAAGACCAGTATGGAAATTGAGGCAGAGGCCATCTCTGAATCTGTACTAGCAGCTAATGATGAAGAGGCCATTGTTGGTTCCTGGTTTTGGGCTAGTGAAGAAGCTAAACTGGAACCTGAGGAAGAGACAATTTTTGGGCCTTGGTTCTGGGGTATTGATGAGCCCAGGGTGGAATCTGGTGTTGGCATGAGCTCTGAGTCCAGGCCAAGGTCTGGGGAAGAAGTCATTGATCCCTGGTTCTGGGCTGGAGAAGTCAACATAGAAGCTGGGGTTGGAGAAGAGACCAGGTCAGAATCAGAAGAAGAGGCAGTATTTGTGTCCTGGTTTTGGTCTGAAAACCAGACCCATATGGATTCTGGGGCTGAAGCTAGTTGTGATATCATGCCAGGGACTGCAGAGGAGGAAGAAGAGGATGAGCCTATATTTGGTTCCTGGTTCTGGGCTGGAATAGATGCTTGTGTGGAGGCTGAAGTCAACAGCAAGTCTATGCTGGAGGATGAGGATGAGGCCGTTATATCATCTTGGTTTGGGGCCAGAGAAGAGGCCAGTGTGAAGTATGGAGCTGGTGGCAGATACAAGTTTATGGCAGAAGCAGAGGATACTGATAATAGGTCTTGCTTCTGGGCAGAAGAAGAACCCTGTGTGTATCCTTCCAACAGAGGAAGTTGGAAGTCTAGACCTGAGGAGGAGGAGGACACTGTTGATTCATGGTTCTTGTCTAGAAAATATTCAAGACCAGAAGCCACTGTAGGGTCCTGGTTGTGGGCTGCAGGAGAGGGCAGTATAGATCATGAGACTGGAGAAGAGGCCAAGTTACCAACTGAAGAGGAGACCACGATCAAGTCCTGGTTCTGGAAAGAAGAAGAAGCCATTATAGATGTTACCGACAGAAAGGAGTTCAGTTCAGTAGCTGAGGAGGAAGATATTATTGGTTCTTGGTTCTGGGCTGGGGAAGAGCATAGGCTTGAGGCACCAGCTGAGGCAGGAGAAGAGAACAGGCTAGCACTTGAGGATGAACCTATGGTTGGTTCCTGGTTTGGGGCCAAGGAAGAGGCCATTAGAGCAGCTGAATTTTGCGGCAAATACGGTTCCAACACTAATGAAGAGGAAGTCGTTGTTGGGTCCTGGTTCTGGGAAGAGGCCAGTTTGGAGGCAGTGGAGACAGGGGACATCCTGTTACAGGAGTCCAAGCCTGAGACTAAGGAGGAGGAAATCAGTGTTGGGTCCTGTTTCTGGACTGAAGAAGCCATTGTAGAGGCTGGGTCTCAGGCAGTAGAAGAAATGAGTTCAAAGATCGAAGAGGAGACCATTTTTGGGTCCTGGTTCTGGGCTGGAAAAGAATTCAATAGAGAATCAGGAATATGCTATGTGCCTAAGCCAGAGGATGATGAAGAGATGATTGTTGAGTCTTGGTTCTGGTCTGGAGACAAGGCCATTAAGGAAACTGGAACTGTGGCCTCCTGTGAGTTCATGCCAGAAAATGAGGAAGGGGCACTTTTTGGGTCTTGTCTT